ATGGACCTTGACACACTCGAGCTCCAAGAAGTCAAGGAAGTGTTGTAGTGGGACATGCGAAAACCTTGGCGAGTACAAGAGCAGAGAAGAGGGGTCACGAGAGGGCCTAGGGGGAGAGGACGAAGCTATGCTAAGGTCAATAGAGGGAGCTAAACATGCAGTCCCCGTGGAGTCTGCGGAGGCAGTAGTGAGGGGCGCAAATTATGAGTCTCGAATAGGAGTGCCTCCTACTGTAGGCGGTTTGGGACTAGACATCGCAGCCAGGTGGAAGGTGTTGCGGACGTTGGGTCCGGGGAAGAGACCTGAGGTCAACCCTACTGCGAGAAGTGACACTGGAGAGCATCAGCATACGGGCATCCAGAAGAGGAGTGCCCTGGCAAGCGGCAACGAGTGCAAATGGCCCACGTGTGAAGGTCGGCGCTCTTCGCAAGTGTCAAACAGGCGTGGGGAGACTCTTAGTGCAATGGGAGAGGTAGCTAATGGGCGGATGAAGGGGTCCTTGCAAGGGACTAGCGGCGGTGAAGGAAGGCGGAAAAGGCCCGACACATCTCGTGCTCGGATAGAATAGTGTCATTCAAGATGGGGAGTGTTGCGTCAGGTCCCGAGTTCTGGTTGTTGCTCGACCTGTTAGAGAAGGGTGGGGTCTGACGGGGTCGTGAGGTAGATACCACGGAGGACTCACCAAAGGGGATGTGTATCTTTGCCAGGATAGTCGTAGTTACAAGCAGCAGCAAAGGCATCGGGCAAGGTTTGGATAGTGAAGGTGAGCATGTGGGCCTGGTACTCCTGAGGGTGGCCCGCACAAAAGGTATCAATCATCAAAGTGTCCGAGAGCTGGTCCCGCAAGCTCTCGAAGCATATGGCGTTGTACGCCTGAATGTATTGCTCCAACGCCCTTGTGCCACCGAGCCATCAAACGAAGGTGATGAAGTGGATGGCGGGGGTGGAGGACTGAGGGCGGTCATAGTACTGATGGAGGAAGGCCCTGAACTCAGTATAATCCATGGGGAGAAGGTAAGGGGGGAGGAAGGGTGGAAGAGGAAGGAGGAGGAGGGGGATGGAGAGGAATTCTAGAGATTCCTAAAATTAGAGTATTACAAGAACATTTCTGGAATTTCAAGGAGATAATAAAAGAGATATGGATGAATTCCAAAAGAAAATTTGGGATAGAATGAAAAAAACCTTAACGTATTTCGGAAGTCAAAGGAAATTCATATACAACTACGTAGCACCGTGTCCGCGTTCGGAGGCGAACGCGAACATGTTCGCCCGAACGTGAACAAGCGCCCAAAACCCTCCAAACGCGAACATGAAATTTATTATAAAAAAAAAAAAAAATTCTCAGAAAAATCTGAAAAAATATATGTTATGTAAAATAACAATACAAGCAACGTTTACCTTGGAGTCATGTTCAAATTCGTAGCCAATCATGAGCTAAAAATCAAAAACCGAAAAAAAAAGAAGATATATATATATATATCGTCACAAATAGAACTGCCCGGTAAACCGTAGGCAGAGAGAGAGAAGAGGACAACAAACGAGGGGCTGTGACAAACTGTTTCGTCGAAGTTTCACCGACTCATCAGGAGGCTGAACTCTCTATATATCGTCACAAACAGAACTGCCCGGTAAACCGTAGGCAGAGAGAGAGAAGAGGACAACAAACGAGGGGTTGTGACAAACTGTTTCATCGGAGTTTCACCGACTACGAAAAAAAATTATGTTCACCCGAACATGTTCGCAAGCCGTTTGCGTGAACGCGCGAACACGTTCGCGGGAACATGAAGGGGCGCGAAAACGTTCACTGTGCTACGCAGATATACAATTTTAAATCAAAAATAACTTAAATAAGATCTAGCTCCGAAATTCAGAATTAATGGTAAAATGAAACCAAGAATTAATTGTAATTCAAAGGGAATTGAATTAGAAGAGATTCAAAATTCATTGGACATGAATCAGAAAGTTGTCTACATGTTTCAAGATTAACTGCGGGGAACGAGCCCTAGAAAGGCCCTTTTCGGGCACACAGACGTTCAGGGCTCAGGCCCCAGCAAGCCTCTTGCCCACCCTAAGTGAAAGCGGGCGTGCATATTTGCATGAGGCCTATTTTCCTAGATTGATTTCCCAGGCGCCCAGGCCCTCAAACCACGCCCGGAATGCCTCCCGTGTGCCCGGCCGAACCCCTAGGCGCTCTCCGCGGCACCTTCCAAAAAAATTTGAGAAACGGTGGACGGCGGAGGGTCGGGGGACGTCCAGATCGCGAAAAAAACATTGCGCAGAGGGCTTCCCGGCCCCTCGAAGATGAAAATTAAAGGGCAATTTCAGACCCTCGATATGCAAGATCGAGGGCTTGAAATCGCCCTTTTTTCTTCCCGTTTGCCAAGGATCACCGTGCGATTTCGCGCGGGCATTGCACTTCGAATGCAGGCACGAAATCGCGCAACAATTCTTGGCTTCGGGAAACCGCCCTCATCTCGTCCAGCGCTGCCTGTCGCCCTTCGCCAGCTTGACGTCGCCATCGCGAGGTAAGAGTGTGTGTGGGGGAGGGGGGGGGAGTTGCGCGTGGGTGTGTTGCGACCTCCTCCTCCTCTTCTCCTCATCCTCCCCCTCCTCCTCCTCCTCCTTCTTCTTCTTCTTCATCTTCGTACTCCCAAACCTCCATATCCGCAACTGGTGCGACGAATGAGGGGAAAGTTTCCCGTGGAAACAAACAAGAGGAAGGTCGTTGCGGCATACATCGAAGGCCACGGCAGCCATCACACCCCTTCCTCCACCGCTCCCCCCTTCGTCCATCGCCTCCCTCCACGCTCCACCTGGATCGTCTCTCCACCCCGATCTTTCTCCTCCTGCTCCTCCTCATCCTCATCCGCCTCATTTCTTATTTTTCTTCTTCTTCTTCTTCTTCTTCTTCTTCTTCTTCTTCTTCTTCTTCTTCTTCTTTTTATCGTCTTCCTCTCCTCCAAGGCTCCACCTCCTCGCCATTGTCCACCTCCTCCCCCCCCTCTTCTTATTATTATTATCGTCTACGTTTGATTCTCTCCTCCTCCTTAGATCACCTCCATCCATCCCGATCTTTCTCCTCCTCCTCCTCCTCCTCCTCCTCCTCCTCTTCTTCTTCTTCTTCTTCTTCTTCTTCTTCTTCTTCTTCTTAGACTACTTCTTCTCGTCCACCCCCTCTCCAAGGTTGCACTTCCTCGCCATCCTCCACCTTCTCCTCCCCCTCTTCTTATTCTTGTTATCATCTACCTTGTTGCACTTCTTAACTTCTTTATCTTTTCTCCTCCTCCTCCCCCTCTTCTTCTTCTTCTTCTTCTTCTTCTTCTTCTTCTTCATCTCGTTTGTTTTTTTGCACTTCAGCAAGTTCATCTTCGTTCCTCTTCGATCGCCAACCTCCCCCTCCTCCTCCTCCTCCTCCTCTTGCACTTCTCCTCCACCACCTGCGGCATTTTTTTATCTACTTCATAAGCTTGTCTTCCTTCCTCTTCCTCTTCGCCATTGTCCACCTCCTCCAACACCTCCTCCTCCTCCTCCTCCTCTTTTTCTTCTTCTTCTTCTTCTTCTTCTTCTTCTTCTTCTTCTTCTTCTTGTTCGTCGCCTTCTCCTCCTTCTTCTTCTTCTTATCATCTACTTCTCCTCCACCTCCTCCGGCACTTTTGTTTCGCACTTCAATAGTTCTTCTTCCTTCCCTCTTCCTGCTTGTCCTCCTCCTCCTCCTCCTCCTCCTCCTCCTCCTCTTCTTCTACTTCTTTTTCTTTTTCTTCTTCTTCTTCTTCTTCTTCTTCTTTCTTCTTCTTCTTCTTCTTCTTCTTTTTTTCACTTGCTTGAACTCTCAAGTCTCCACCTCCTCCTCGTCCACCTCCTCTGCCTGTTTTTTTTTTTTTTTCACCTCATCAAGGTCAACTTCGTTCCTCTTCTTCCTCGCCATCCTCCACCTCCTCCTCCTCCGCCGCCGCTGCCGCCTCTTCTTCTTCTTCTTCTTCTTCTTCTTCTTCTTCTTCTTCTTCTTCTTCTTCTCATCACTTGCTTGAGCTCCCAAGTCTCCTCCTCGTCATTCTCTGTCTTCCTTCTCCTCCTCTTTCATCAACATGGTTTCCTCAAGCCGTCCTTGCAGCAGCACGGCTGCACCTGGCAGAGATGGCGACGGCGGCGGCAAGGGCAAACAAAAGGTCGTCGACAAACCTCCGTTTGAGCCTGCATCAGAGTTGATGCAGATGGAGTTAGAGAGAACAAAAGACGCGTACAAATGGGTGTTGCACGGACAGGAGGCAGATCCTAAAGGGTACGGTTACTACTGACACAAACGTAAGATGTGCGGCAGGGTGTGGTCCGCGTCTTACTCGCGTGTACTCGGACATTTCACGGCCAAGAGGGGCCCGTGTCCTGGCCGAACAGGAGAGATGCTGCACATCATAGCCAGCAAGGGGGCAAAGATAGACTACCCCCTCACTAACAGATTGATCCAGCTGCACCGCCTTGAGAAGGCGGGGATCAAACATAAGTGACAAACACCTCAGAGGCTACACGGGCAGACACGTTGGGGGAGTCCATTCAACCTCCAACAACACCAGGCAAGGAGGAAGTCGTCGACGGTGTGGAAGAAACTGGTGGGGTGACGGACGGGCAAGGCGTCGTGCTTGAGGGAGGTGCAGTGCCTGCAGTCCCATCCGGTGATGGGTCAGTGACAGGTCGAGGGTCTGCCATGTTCAAACAGGCGTCTATCGGACGGTGGACCGAGCACTTGTCGCAGCAGCGACTGGACATTGCATGGGGGATGCACTTGTACGAGCACGGTGCTCCCTTCAACTACGTGACGGGGGAGAAGACTCAAGAACTGCATGACGTCTACTTGGAGTTGGGGGAGAAGAGGCAGTGTGTGAAGATGTCGAGCCATATGCAAATGGCCACAATCGTGCTTGACATTGCGTATGAGCGGCGATGAAGCCTCTGATGGACTCCTGGGACATCAGTGGCTGCACTTTGATCACGGACGGGTGCACGGATCGAAAGTTCTGGTCTGTCATGAACTTCATTGTTGTTAGGGAGAGCGGGGCAGTGATGTTGAAGGTGGTTGACATGTCCAAGAGGAAGAAGAATGCAGTTTCGTTGGCGAAATTGTGGGAAGGGGTGATTCGAGAGATTGGAGTGCAGAGAGTCAATGCTTTGTGCACGGACAACGCAGAGGTGAACAAGCATGCAGCGAGAATTTTGAGGAGGAGAACGGACCTGAACATTTCGTGGATTCCTTGGGCGTCGTGTGCTGCTCATTGTCTGAACCTGTTGCTGAAGGGGATATGTGAAGAGTCGTGGGTGCAAAAACTGCACAAGAGGGGCAAGACGATTGTGAAGTGTATCAAGAACCACCACAAGACAGCGCAATTGTTCAAGGACTGTTCGGAGATGGAGCGCAGCAGGACACTTATCATGTCGATGGAAGTGCGTTTTGCCTCCGTCTACATGATGTTGGAAAGGCTACTCGACCGCAAGAAGGTGTTGAAGGCGATGATGAAGGAAGGGTGGCTTGGGATCAAATGGGCTGCTCGGAAGAAGCGCAAGATAGCGGAAACGGTGTATCTGACAGTCAGGTCTGACGAGTGGTGAGGGGAGGTAGAGGCAAGTGTGGATGTGATGACATCTGTGTATGATCTGCTGCGTCAGATGGACAAGAGCGACACTACTCCATATCAGTTGTGGGGTTTCCAAGAGGCGTAGATTAAGAAGATGAGGACCATTGCACGCATCACGGCGGAGCGGCAGGAAGCCATCGCAAAGAAGGTGATGCGGCGATGCAAGATGATGCACCAGCCTGTGCACGCAGCGAACTTCCTTCTCAATCTGTCCCCGAGGGACCCTTGCTGGATGCATGATCCCAAGAGCCCCCTCGTGCAGAATGTAATTAAGTTCATGTTATCTCAGTGTAGCGAGGGGGCGACATGGGGGTGTCGGGAGCAGCTGCGGCTGTGGGATTCCATGAAGACTTTCCACAGATAGCCAAAGGGAAATTCCAGTCTGCCCATCCAGCAGCAGGACAATTTATTGACCGACTTTGCGAAGTACGACAGTAGCCTGGACAAGCATACGCTATCAAATTGGTAGAGCTGCCATGGAAAGAGCCACGCGAAGTTGCAGCGTATCGCTGTGTGTGTCACAACAATGTGGAGCACTGGCACACCTTGTGAACGCAACCGGTCTACATTGGACCTTGTGCACGAAAAAATAAGGAACCAGTTGTCCAGTGAAATGATAACCGAACTTGTTTATGTTCACTAGAACCTGCAACTGCTGAAGGTCAAGAAGAAGAAGCAAGCAGGTTTCATCGATATGTGGGTGAACTTCTTTGATGGAGATGCACCGCCACCTCTCGCAGATGCAAACATTATCCCTGACGACGTGGAGCCGTTTGCGGAGGAGGTGGCACGGAGACTTCGTTTGAGGAAGACGGCTTCTGCACAGGTTCCTAAGGTGCGGAAGGTGGATGAGTCCAGCGACACGGGACAACAACGATGACGGGAAGGATCTGGTTTGGAGGGGGAAGGGAAAAAAACATAAGGATATCGAATGTTTGGATGCTGCACGTCATCAAGAAGGGAAAGCGCAGGTGGAAGAAGTTGATGATGATAGTGATTCTCACGAGGAGGATGAAGTACAAGAAATGGACTTCGCACTTCGCGCACCTGTGGAGTCGGATGAGGACTCCGATGACGGGGACAATGAAGTACAAGAAATGGACTTCGCGCTTCGCACACCTGTGGAGTCAGATGAGGACTCCGATGACGGGGACGATGACGATGACGATGACATGACACTGAGGCAGGACGGAGGTCACCCGAACAATGACCTCGAGTTCTTGCTGCCTCGTACCCGTGACAGCCACCATGCCACGCAGACCGAGGACGAGGCCATGCGAGCTCTTGCGCAAGCTCTCGCAAAGAGAGATCATGCCATCGTCATGTGGAGCGTGGAGGAGGATGCAGCGAGGGATGTGGTAATTCCTCGTCGTAGAAAAGTGGAGGGGAGGGATTTGATGTTGTTCCAGCGGGGACTGCAAGCGGGGTGTCAACAGCAGTAGGAGCTGCGGCAGAAGCGGCCCATTCAGCAGCAGGTGGAGAAGAGACTGGACCACCGCTGGAAGCAACAGCAAGTGGAGAGAAAAAGGGAGATGACCCCAGTCACACAGATCAGCAAGCCGATAATCCCCTCGGTGAAGCGCTTGAAAAAGGAGAACTTGGAGAAGGACAAGCCATGGCACTTGTTTACCAAAGGAGACAGCAATCAGCCACTTCTGTCCCGCCTCCTACTCTTCCCTCTGAACCGGAGTTTCCACCTTTGGTTGCAAGTGTGCAGCACGACAACTTGGAAACGAGCACTGTGGGAAGGAAGAGGAAGGTGGTGGAAGAAACCGCAGCAGAACAGAACCAAAGAGGGGATGGGGTAGACCTCACAAGGCACGACCTGCAACGGCCTGTCCACCGGGCGAGAAAAAACAAAATGGCAGGCAAAGAAGAACCGCCATGTGATTGATGATGACCCGGTGTCAGGGGAGGACGGCAGCAGCAGCGATGCTGGCCATGAATCAGACGAAGATTGGCGCTAAATCAGCCCAGATGCAGATTGGGTCATTGGATGTGGTGGTGGTGGTGGCGGGGGGGGGGGGGGGGGGGGGGGGGGGGGGGGGGGGGGGGGGGGGGGGGGGGGGGGGGGGGGGGGGGGGGGGGGGGGGGGGGAGGGGAGGAAGAGGAGAGGAAAAAGAAAAAAGAGAAGATCGGAAAAAAGAGTAAGAGAGAGAGAGAGAGAGAGAGAGAGAGAGAGAGAGAGAGAGAGAGAGAGAGAGAGAAACTGTTCGGTCTGTTATCTGTGGCTCGTGCTCGAGAAACTTTTAAAAGAGTCTGCATGACTCTACATACTCAGTGGTGCATGTGTCAGGGGTGTGTCATGTATGTGTCCGGGTGCGCAATGTCCAGGGTGTGTTGTGTGATGTGGGTGCTGTGTAAACTGTGAGCTGTGTGTGTTGTCTGCTGTGTCTGCCAAGTATGTTGTATGTGCTGTGTGTGGTGTGCCACGCTGCACACGCTGCAAACAGCACACAGCACACACAGCACACGGCATGCCGTGTGTGTTGTGTCCGCACGTGATGTATGTTGTGTATGTCGTGTGTGCTGTGTCCGCACACGATGTGTGTTGTGTATGCCGTGTGTCCTGTGTCCGCACGTGATGTGTGTTGTGTATGCCGTGTGTGCTGTGTGCTGTTTGCAGTGTGTGCAGTTAGTGACGTTTCCCCCTGTGCTTGCTGTTTGTCCCCCTCCCACCAACACCTTCCCCAAAACGAACAAGAACAAAACATGGGGAAGACCCCGGATTTGGGGCCCTTAGGCAGGGTGCAGAACGGTCGTAAGGCCAAAAAAAAAAAAAAAAAAAAAAACTACTGTGTTTTCTCCATGGCAGCGGCGGACAACCAAACCGGACAAATCCGGACACCGGACACCGGGAATCCCAGTTTAATCCGACCGTCCGGTTTTCCTGTATTTTCCGGTTAATAATGTCCGGATTGACATGTCCGGATTCCTGTCCGGATAGGTATATATGTCCGGATTAAAAAAAAAAAAAAAGAAAAAAAAAAAACTTCCGTTCAAGTGGCGCCAGAAAAGCCTTGGGGTGAATGAAGGATGTGGGAAGTAGGGGAGTGGGAAACGTTTTGAAATCTCACCGAAGTGACTGAACATACCTTGTGAAAGAACAAAGCTTTACTCTGGAAAGGAAGTCAAATGTCAGCAAACACCACATGAATTGCAAACAGCTCAACAAACACCAAATTGGCATGAATGTCGTACTCGAACTGTAGACCTGTAGGGTAGAAGTCTAGACAGTTCCGGAGTTGTAGCTGAAGACTGCCTGAAGAGTCAAGGTCGTAGCTGCTACTTACCTGAAAGGGCAAAGTCGTAGCTGCTACAGTACCGAAAGGCCAACTTAGAGAGTTCTAGAAGTGGCCTTTCGGAGTCAGTCCCTGTTAGGTGCAGGCAAGTGGTCAAGTGGTGCAGGCAAGTGGTCAAGTGGTGCAGGCAAGTGGGC